GAGAGTGCAGAGGACCCTCCCATCCGTTGGGAAATGGCAAGGTAATTCCTCCCGATGCTGGGATTCTGGTTTTCCACTGGCCTTCCTGTTCCACCCTACAACCATGCCTCCTGCATGGCCTTTCCTGGGCCAAACTTGACTTGGACACCTCTAGGGTGTGGCACTGGGCTAGACTGCAGGGACCCCAAAGTCTCAGGGCCACAGCCTCTGTCCTCGGAGCGCTCCGTGCCGATGGTCACCGTGGGCTCCTTCCTTCCTGAAAGGGATCAAGGCCACAGAGATGGAACAGCAGAGCCTTCCAGGCCGGTGCTCTGTTTGGGATATTAGCTCTAGTGTGGCAGGACAAGCACCGCCTCTGAAGATTGACTGCTTTGGTTCAAATCCTAGGACCATGACCATTGACCTTGAACAGGTTATTCATCATCTCTGTACCTCAGTTTCCTTATCTGAAAATGGTGATGGTAGTGGCACCTGCCTCATGTTGCCATTTTTAGGGTTAAATATGCTCAGCAGAATGTCTAGTGTACTCATTATGTTGTAGCTATTTATATTATTTAGTTCAGGAGGCAGTTTTTATCTTGGGAAGCTTTATTAATTATTAATAATGTTTCTTTTAAAAAACACAAATCAGTCTAGTTGCATAAATGCACACACACAGGATGGGGTTGGGGAACCAGCTGGAAATCTGAGGGAAGAAAGCGAAGATATAAAAACGAGCTCCCCTCCCCACTACTTCACAGCTGAATAAAAAGACCCCCCAGAAATACAGCGTTTCCTTGAGTAATGAAGGTCGCTGTGGAGAAAAGAAGAAGAGGAGCTTCTGGGGCTGTCTCCTGGGCTGGAGTTTAGACTCGTGTCCCATGCCACTCCCCTGCTACTCTCTGCACATGCCAGCGTGCAGCCGTCCTCACCCAGGAGCCAGGGCAAGCATCGTGGGTGCATGTGGGGCTCTGGGACTCCCAAGAAAAGGCGGGGAGAGCTCAAGAATGAACACCCTGAGATTTGTGCCGTGGTGCAGGGGTGGGCCCCTGGCGACCAGAGCTGGGCAGTCTCCTGACTTGGCTCTCAGTGCTGTGTGTGGATCGCTGCGGGTTTCGTTCCTACCGCTTCAGGGGAATGGGTTGGCGCTTTGGTTGCCTGCCTGGGGGCATCGTATGTGTCTGACTCAGGCAGGTGCTATCACTTCCTGCTCAGAGAAGCAGGTCAGTCATGGGTGAAACCAGCTCCCGTTGGTCCTTTAGGCCAGACTTTGCGTTAGGCAGCCCCGTCTGAATTCCGACGCTGTCTCATTAGAGTGCAACCTCAGGGTGGTCACTTACACACACCCAGCCTTAGTCCATTCTCGTTGCTATAAAGAAATACCCAAGGCTGGGTAATTTATAAAGAAAAGATGTTGGCCCATAATCCCAGCACGCTGGGAGACAGAGGTGGGAGGATTGCTCGAGCTCAGGAGTTTGAGACCGGCCTGACCAAGAGCGAGACCCCATTTCTACTAAAAACAGAAAAAATGAGCCAGGCGTCGTGGCACGTGCCTGTCGTCCCAACCACTCGGGAGGCTGAGTCAGGAGCATCGCTTGAGCCCAGGTATTTGAGGTTGCAGTGAGCTGTGATGATGCCACGGCACCCTAGCGTGGCTGGCAGAGTGAGGTGTCTCAAAGAGAAAAAAAGAGAGCTGTTCATCAGGCTCAGGTTGCGCAGGCGTGAAAGGGGCACGGAGCCAGCATCTGCTGCGGGTAAGGCCTCAGGCTGCTTCCGCTCCTGGCGCGCGGACAGGAGCTGGTGTGCACAGATCGCCTGGCGAGCGGGGAGGTGCCAGGCTCTTTTTAACAACCAGCTCTCCTGGGAACTAAGGCAGTGGGCACTCACTGCCTGGTCGGTCAATGGTGGTGGTGACGATGATGATGCTGCGCTGCAGTGGGGAGTGTCTAGAAGGACTCCAGTGTCAGTAGCTGCTGAGATGCTGACGCAGTGAACCCTCTTTTCTGCAGGAGCACAGCGAGGGCATCTCGTCACCACCCCCACTGGCGTCCAGGCCAGCTGTCAGAGCCAGCGCCTCCAGATGCTACATTCCCGCCTTCTCTTTCTCAGCCTGAAATCTTCCTAACATGTAACGGGATCCGGGGGACTACTTTGCAAGCAGACCCCGGACACAGGACCTTTCCCTTGCCTCCTATCGGGATTTCTGAAAATCTAGGGCCAGAGCCACCCTCCTGGGTGGTGATTTGAGGGGAAACTCAGGCGGGACCCTTGTATCTACTGCCCACCGCCTACCGTTCCTTAATGAACATGTTTTCCCTTTGACTTGCAGAGATCTTTTCTTTCCTTCCTTCCCTCCCTGCTTTCCTTTTTCTTTCTTTTCTTTTTTTTCCTCAAAAGGCTCCTATAAGGATTTAGATTTATAGGAGAAACTTAGATTTATAGGGTCCTGGAACTGAAAGGGGCCTTAGACACTAACTAGTCCAAAGTGAAGCTCAGTACAGCAAAGGAAGACTCACATCCACCCTCTCCCCCGGTCCTCTAGGCAATCCTTGGGCAGAGGTATTATCAGTGTCCTTGTTTACAGACAAGCACACTGCGTGATTTAGTGCAGTGTGACGGTTAGGAGTGGACTCTACAGTCAGCCTGGCAGGGTTCGAGTTCGGGCTCCACTGTTTACTAGCTATGTGACCTTGAACAAGGTACTTAACTTTTCCGTGCCTTATTTCTCCATCTGCAAAATGGTGATAATGCTTGGTGCAAAAGAAATGCTGCTGTTTTCATTATTATCCCTGAAGGCAGGCCACACTAAATGTACTGATTTCTTCAACACATGTTCTCTGAGCCCTACTGTGTCGGGTGCTTTGCAAGGTGCTGCACAGACAGTGGTGAGCTAAACCAGGCACGAGCCCTTCCCTTACGGAGCTCAAAGTCTGGTGGGAGAGACGTGCATCACTGTCAACCCCTAAGGCAAGTGTTACGAAGGCAGCATGCTTGGTGTCATGGTGAGAAGGCAGAGTCAGGCTGGGGCCCTTGAGGAGTGAAGACCACTTTGCCATCTGATGAGTGAGCTGGAGTTAGCCAGACTGGCAATGGGGGTGGGGTTGGGGTGGGGACAGAACAGTCTGGGCAGGGGCAGCAAGGACACAGTCCTTGTGGAGGGACAGCACTGACCTGTTCCAAGGCTGCCGAGGCTGGAGTGCAGTGACCAGGGCAGGCCCAGGGCGAGATGAGCTGGTGAGTAGGAAAGGCCCAATTATTCAGATCTTGATAGGCCACACAACAGATTTTGATCTTTTTCCTAGGAGCGAAAAGGAAGGATAAGCTGAGAAGTGACAATAACCAGCTCTGCAGTTTGAAAAGATCATCAAGACTGCAGTGTGCAGGGTGGACAGGTGGGTGGCAAGAGGGGATGAAGGCATGCCCACCAGGACACAGAGGGTGCAGGGTGCATGGGTCTGGCGCTCAGAGGAGAGGTCTGTGCTGGAGATAAAAGGTGTCCTTGTTGGCAGGTTGTCTGCAGCCAGGGCCATGGGCGAGCTGGCCTGGGGAGACAGCCCAGAGCTGCACTGTCCAATACAGTAACCACTAGTCAAAAGTAGCTGGTCAGCAATTAAAATGTGCCCAGTCTGAATTTAGGTGTGCTGTAAGTGTAAAATACACGCTGAATGTTGAACTTAGTGTAAGAATGTAAAATATCTTATTATGAATTTTATATCCATTGCATGTTGGAATATTTTGAATATACTGAATGAAAATCTATTATTAAAATTAATTTCACCAGTTTCTTCAAAAATTTTTTTAAAAAATGTGGCTACTTGCAAATTTAAGTTCCTTATGGGACTGGCATTTGTGGCTCACACTGTGCCTAGAGCGAGGAGAGGAGACAGACCAGGCCCCAGCCCTGAGAAATGATAATCTCCAAAGCCAGGTCTCAGCCAGCACCTGGTTGCGGGCGAGTGTCCAGGGCAGAGCACGGTAGCGGGACGGGACACGGGCGTGGGGTGGCAGTTGGGGTCCCAGGAAGGGAAAACGTGGAGGCTGTGGGGTCCTAAAGGCGGGATTCAGCCACCCACGCCTGCACAGCGTCTGGCCCACCCCCAGAGAGTCCCCGCGGTGCAGCAGCTGCTCTTTTCTCTGTTCCAATCTGCTGGGGGTTAAGTGCCCGCATCAAGCGCTGGGTGCGAGGAAGGCAGGCGGCAGACTAGCCCCTCAAAGCTCTCCCCCGAGTCCGAGACCGCCCTCTGGACTCCCGGGCAGCTGGGGCGGGCGTGGCGGGCGGCCCCACGCTGAGGGGCAGCTGCTTGGCTCGGCTCTCCCGCCGGTCACGTGGCGGGTGGCGGCGCGCCAGGCCCCTCCCGCGTGCCCCGCAGCCAGCCCGCACCGCCGGCGGGAGGCTCCGAGCGCAGCGCTGCGCGGGGGTGGGGGCGGGCGGTCCCTGGTGCGGAGACCGAGTCCCATCCCGTCGGAGGGGACCAAAAGGAAAACGGCTCACTGATCCCGCGTTTCTATCTGTAACTAGCAAATACG